GATATTAAATTCTCAACTTGCTCTAGTCATTAAATTTTGAGATTTTTCTGTGCATCCAATTTTTATCTTTATTTCCAAAAATAATAACCACTATATATAATATAAATTAAATATAATTGTATTCAAACGTGTACAACAATTTACATAACCATAAATATTTTAAGTTTATACACACATTTAATATATCGATTTATAAAATATTTTAATGAACCATACATGTCATTCATTTTCATGGCAATTTGGCTAACATTGCCTTGCAATAACCTGACTGGTTTCATTTATAGCAAAATATCTTATCAGAATGGCTGCCTATGTAAAAAATAATTGACTACTGCAGTCTTTTTTTTTTTTTTCTTTCATCTGAAACAATACACAAACACTGATCGAGACAAAGCGTTTAGTAATATAACTACTGAAAGCTACATATAAAACCTGTAAGCGATTGCTTGCAGAATATGCCGTTTTTACGAAGATAACAAAACTTATTGACCGTGAATCGTCGTGCATACATTGAAACACTTTATACGTTTTTCGTAGCTGAGTTAATAATAAGCTCTTATCGTACTTTTAGCAAAAAAGGAAAAAATTATCATTCGTTTCGCAGTGTTGAGTAACATGACTCGGAAAAAAAAATATTGTACGAATAATACAAACCAATCATCTTTGAAGATTTGGTAAAGCACTGTTAATGAATACTCGTAAGTCCTTGGAAACGGGAAAAGGATAGCCAATAGCGAAATTTATCTTTGCTCGTAAATTAAAATAGGACACATATCAGGAATGAGTTTGGGCTTGTCCAGAGATCGATAGGGGGTCGCGATTAGCTAATTGAGACACGAGATACCGGGGTGACTTACAGACGAAGGAAAAATCTGCTGGGCAGTGCCGGCACGGAATTTATATTTTTAGAGGGCACCTGGGTCGGCTGCAGTCGTCTTTGCTTCGTCGAACTGCAGTCCTGCAGTATAGCACCGTTACGTAGAGATTTTGCGCGTTCGAGCATACGATAAACGTAGCCAACGATATGTTATCACTGTTCACAAGAAATAGTATCGGCAGTATCAAAACTATGCTGCCGATTTAAATGCTATTGTGACGAGCGGGCGCGGCGCGCTCTTCTCAGCATGGCCGCCGCCATTACACTGAGAACACGACCATTCCAGGATCGTAACAAGCGGGGGCCCCTAATGTCCGCATTCGTTATCCTTTGTCAATCTATACTGCACTGTCATATGCCCGAAACAGTTATATAAATTTACAAAATTTCTTTATTAATTACATTCATCTACACTGGCGAGCATGGTAGGGAAAAGTGATCCCACCACTCGCTAGTTTTTGAATGATAAATTTTTAAATATACAAACATTAAAAATTGGAAAGTTAGAAATGTTCAAATTCACTAACTTTTAAGTTTTCAAATTTAGAAATCCAAAAATTTGCAAATCATCAAATTTAAAATTTTATAAATTCGAAAATTTGGAAATTTTTTAAATTACATATTTGATTCCCTAAATTTAAAGATAAGTGGTGGAAGACTCCTTCCCTACTTTAGTTAATAGAAGCCTATGTTAGATTTGACTATGTATTGTAATTGTAAAACAAATAGCTTGCCATTTCATAAATTTGTATTCAAAATGTATAAATATTAAAATGTTAAAAAAAAGTTTCACTTCATTGAAATCAATTTACTTTGTATAGATTGGATACTCTTCCATCATTGAACTCACATTAAGGTGATTGTATTGCAACAATAAATTCATAAATTAAGAGATTGATGAATATGACAAATGAAGTGATAGAACTTTTAATATAATATTGACATAAAATACATCAGTAATACAAAATAAACAAAAAATAAATATTTTTCTTGTCAGTCAAAGGGTGTAAACTACTGAGAGAAATACAGCTGCCTTTTTTTCAACACTCTATTCTTAAAATTGCATATTAAATCATTTTTATTATTTTTTCCAACAAATTCTTAGATAATCATTCCTACATTATAATTAACAATGTACCTAATTTTCATACACTGTATATGATATATTTTACAATCTTAAATATACTTATATCCATCTTAGTATAGTTAACCTTTATAAAATTTCATTAGTGTTTAGATATCATCATTATATATGTTCAGTTATATTTTAAAGAAATTTCATAGCAAAGTGTGTTTGTAGTACAACCACCTTAAAATTTGCCGATGCAACTCTTGTGATAATTATAATATAAATATATCAGAAATAACAATTATGGTAACATTAAATTGTTGTAATGTCAAAATAATAATTTAAATCAGATCAAAAATTGTCATCAAATACAAAAATTGACACAAATGAATGCTTGGTATAAATTTATATATCATATATAAGTAACATTTAACTAAACTATCAATCTTTCAGTTATATTGTAATGCAATTAACTCTAAATGAAAACATATGATTGACTGCTATTAAAGAATTATAAAATCTAATTATATAGCAATTTAATGTAATAGACAGTAGGCATTATTTTATGCTTTTAACTCATGAATTAATAATGTTTATTAGAAATATAATAATAATTATATTTTCATTAGTTTCACATTCATTATCAGTGTACTATAATATTGAACATTAAAATAAATACATGCATAAATACATCTGTTTGTCACTTTTACGTGTTCATAAGAAAATTTACATTTCCAAAAAGATCTTATCGAGTAAATTAAATAGTCATTTTAAATAGACAATTTAAGTCAATTTAATAGTCAATTTAATTCAATGTCATTGACAATTTAAGTAGTTATTTTAGCAATTATATGCCCATTTTCCTATAAATAATTGAACTTTCCTATAATAATATTTGTGAGTTTATTAATGTAAATTTTAGAAATACATCATATTCTGCAATAAACTCCTTATATTTATAACTCACCTGCTTACTGTCTGAGGTAACACTGGTTGGTGCACTTTGATTTGTTGAATCTAAAGCAGTATCAGCATTCGTCGAAGCACATTCTGCATTCGAACTCTGACTACCAACAGTTTCAATGCCTACCACTGGATTTTCACTAACTCTTTCATTAGAGATTTCACTGTTGTTATTTTCAGTAGTTTTGTCAGGAGCTACTGGTTCTTGACGATGTTCTGGCCCTGGGGCCATTTTGATTGAAATTGACAGCGTTGTGTCCGCTGTACTCATAGCTTCATCATTTTTCTTTGGTGTTTTTAAGGTCTAATGACCTGAATTATCTGATCACAGAGAACAATTCCAGATTCTTGCGTTTCGTATCATGTTAAGTTTATTGGTTTTGTTCATGATATATTAAACCATCACAACAATCACGTCCACACAAATATTAACATCTTTCACTGATGTCACAGAAGGTTAAGAACGATCGGCTCAACCGATCACAAGTTCAACTTGTGAAACTCGATTCAAAAGAATGTACGTTCAAATAACAACAATTATTTCTATTTAAATCGTGAGATTCAATTCAAAAAAATCTATCCAGTTTACTCAATTTTACACGCGCATGATGCGCGCTGCTAAGGTGACAAAAATGGCACCGTCCACCGTCTAGTGTCGTGACTGTCGATCAATCAGGAAACTGTTGTCTTTACACATTTAGCGGGATACCTGAACCAATATTTAACCACCAATCTTGTTGCGCAAAATTGTTGCTTTACATGTGTCGAACGCGATAAAACAAATTTAGGAAAATATCATGATTTTTCGACTTAATTCTGTTTTATAAAAAGCAAAAGAAAAAACACCAACGTTCGCATTCAAATTAGTTCAAATTTTAGTGAGATACGAATTCTAACGCCTTCAACTATCGTTGTTTATTTCAAAATATTTTGCAGATCTCTGTTTTATATGTTAATTTTTTACCATCCAGGTTATTTTAGATTTGTTTTTGCAGTTTCAGTGAAAAATATTTACTATATATTTTTGTAGTTCATAAAAAAAAAATGCGAAACAATGGAAACACTGATCCCATTTATATACTGTGTTAATATTGATATATTCATTTGAAATTATTTGTAAAGTTTATGGTTCTATTATTTTCTTCACTTTTCTCCAATATTGAATAAATAAATTATAGTTGAAAATAAATTTAAATTACTCCGTTCACGTTCGATAGCAGGAACAAAATGCTTTTTCTGTAGTACTTATTAGAATTTGATTCCAGTAGTGGAAAGTTGTATCTTCGCTTGACATGTCAGTTTACTTGTGTACATGTTTGCAATCTTTCAAAAGAAAGACGTTCATGAAAGTCCAATTTTGGAGTTATAAAGTGAGCTTCACAATCGTCGTAGTTCGAAGTACTCATAAATTCAAAATGGCCGCTGTCGATATTAAAATGCACACTTTTCTTACGTACGCTTCTCGAAAATTTCTTTTTACACAAAATGCAATCTATTCATAGCATTGTTCCAACCGTGTACGGATGGAAGACACGAAACTGTATTTATCCAAAATGACGATAATATTTCTGACATTGCTTGTACACACATGCACACACACACTAAAAAGTATGTATAGTTTGCTCTTGCTACAGTTCTGCCGTACAAAGGCTTCGGAAGACACTGAGATCACTTTTAAAACATTTCACTGACAAGTAGGAATATCCTACGGAGTTAGAAATATCTGATCGGATCATCGGAGCGGATTCCAAAATCGTCGGTGAATTATCGATCGCTTGCTGTTACTTTTGTACGTACAGTTTTTTGACAGCAGCACAAAAAACTACATCGACAGCTTTTATATTGATACATTCAATTATAACGTAAACAGTAAATCCTGTTACTGAGATTTATTTTAAATATAATATTAATTGTATTTGAATGAAAGGAAAGTAGTCCACCCAAAACTTCATCGCACGATGTCCGAATCCATCCGTACGGTTAATCAATTTTTTGCACTACAACATTTCACTTGATTTCACTACTGTTTAACATTATTTTTAGCTAATCACATCAAAAAGAAGTTACAGGAAAACTGACGTAAACCTGCATAGACAGTTTTCAATAAACGAACGCTTTTGCGCAGAGAAACGGCGGACCAGCCGTTTAGCCTCCGAAAATGTCGTCTGGCTTCAGGAGCGTAACTATACGTCAAGCTGCGTACTACAGTCACACTTTTTTAATCAATTTGAAACAACTCATAATAATATAAAAATACATTTTTATAGTTAATTTTTGTATTTTAAACAGCAATTTACAATATTGTAGTAAGAATTGTTTTATATTTAAATGATTAAATGTAGCACAAGAAATATATAAAATCTTATAAATATCTCTTGTTTTATATAATAAATAGTAACGCAAGAATTCTATTTTATGAGAAATATGTATTTTGCAATTATATATACTACAAATAAATATGAATTGAAAAGACGCATACAAATATTAATAGCTACGATACTGTTAGCAGTGCGATTGCTATATGCGTCACTAAAATCGATATATCTCGAACTCGAACTACAGAGCGATATAACTGTCGATTCTACCGATTCATTGACGTTGTATGTTGATATATACTTCCTAAGGTAATTTAGATTAAATTGAAGACAGTAGAGTGTGTAAAAGCAGGTGGATAGTTACAAAGTTTGTAAGTTTAGAATTGAAGAAATATTATTTAACACGGTTGACTATAGATAACAGATCTTTACACTTCGTTGCAGATAACAGGTTCCGGTACAATTACATTTCCAAAACAGTGGGGGAAATTCTGAGGCGGTAAAATGACACAATCTGAGAATATTTTTTTGTTTGTGCCCAACATTATTGGTAAATAAATATTTACAATTAAATGTGTCATAAAAATCTGTATGTAATTTTAATTTTTTATACGCGGAGAATTATGAAAATAGTCTTTAGACTGTAGCAAGTAAAATATAAAGAAAAAAAATAATATTGATAACATATTCAAAGCTTCATTTACACAAAAGTACATTTCATTGAATATAAATTTTTGTGTTTTATTAATGAAATAGAATTAATTTATATAAAGGTGTATATTTAGGTGATATCTTTTATGGTTAAAAAATGTTTATAACATACTTTACATTGTAAATAATTTTTATAATTAACATTAATAATGTCTTTTCTTTATGTACTGTTTTAAAATTAAAACATTTTAATTTTTGCTTAGTGTATAATATAACATATGATTAAAAAAAAGATTAAATACATAGCACTTTAAAGACTTCTTGTATTGATTTGTTCTAATTTATAGATTGTCTTTTTTATGGGATATTTTACATTGTTATTTAAAATAAGAAATTATTATTTATTAATTACTAAACTGTATTCAGGATATTTAAATATTAAAAATTAAAATAGGAAATGAATGCTTAGAAGATACTATAATTTTAATACAAATAATGGTAGAAATGAAGCTTTTACAATAACCAGAAGTAATTAAATAATATATGAAATGAAGACTTAAATTTGCACATATATATTAAATATTTTAAACATTATAGCACACTGTATATAATAACAAAATATAATACGTGCATATGTGTATTGACAGGCTATGGCAGAGTGATTTTGGCTATTATATCCTTTTATTTTATGAAAACTAACCACATAATTGCATCATGGTGTTACATTATTAGTGCACTATTAGATGCAGTGGATGGCCATGCAGCAAGATATTTTAATCAAGGCACCAAATTTGGTGCTATGTTAGATCAACTGACTGACCGTGTTGGTACTATGTGTCTTTTAGCCATATTATGTGTGTTTTATCCTTCATACTCATTCTGGTTTCAATTAAGCATGGCCATTGACATTAGTTGCCATTGGATATATTTGCACACGTAAGGAACTGTTTTATCAATGATGTATATTTATTATATACTGTATACATAATTACTGTAATCGGTACATTAACATATAAGAGTGCACAGAATATTTCTTTATTATATCACTATAAAATCTTGTTATGTTGTAGGTCTCTGTTGCAAGGAAAGACAAGTCATAAATTTATTGACATGTCTGAAAATCCAATTATGAAAGTATATTATACCAATCGTACAGTTCTATTTATTATGTGTGCTGGTAATGAAGCTTTTTATGCTGCTTTGTACCTTTTGTACTTTACAGAAGGACCCACTTGTAAGTTATTAATTATATTTATACTACATGTATAAAGAATTAATTGTAAAGTATAATATACATTTTTATTTCAGTGGTTGGCATGAGTTTATTCAGACTGGTTATGTACCTTTCTGCACCAATAGCTCTCGTTAAAACTGCTATTTCTTTATTACATGGATATGTATCTTGTATCAATTTAAGTACAATTGATTTAAAGGAAAGGCAAGAACTAAAAGCAAAATAAGTTACTGCACTATCTAATACTTTCTAGTCACTCTAAATGTGATTAATTAATTGATCTTCCTAATTTAACATTTGTTATATGCAAATATGTATTTACATTGGTCAGTCCAATTAAATGTGCCACATTTAAAGCTAAAATTGACCAACTATTTTATTATGAAATAGGTATGTAATACTACTCAATGTTTAATTTCTATTTTAATAACCATGCTTCAAGCATTACACATTATATTCCAGTACAACTAATGTTTAAAAGAAATACTCCATTTAATGTTAGTTCTGTTTTTATGTCTTATAATATTTTTGTACTTAGTAAATGATGATATTTTTGAATATATATATATATACATATATGAATTATTTTTTTTAGCAAATATATTTTAATAGAATAACTGTTAAGAAAATATTAATAAATGTTACACTGCTTCTGATCTTTAAATATTTTAATGTAATCAGATAGAGATATATTTGATGTTTAATCATTGTGTTGCATTTTTGTTGGTATATATATATATGTATCTATAATGTATAAATTTAATGTGGAACGTGTATAAAACTGTAAGAAAATATTTAATAAATATTTTTGTCCCTTGTACAATATTGACATAATCTTTATTATACTACAATTATTAATACAACACATTATAAGTATATTAATACAGTTAATTGTATTAACACAATAAATATATAATAAGGTATACAAAATAAGTTATACCAATCTTACATACATTAAAATTAATTAGCATTAAATATTTATTTATATATATATAAACACATGTTTACTATGCATATGAATCAATTTCTTTCACTACTATAAAAACTGTTCATTTTCATTACATTAAAGCAAGTAGTAGTCTCGTAAAAATAAAAAGGAAAATCATTCATTATTTAAAAAATTGGCATAAAAGAAAGGGCAAAAAACCGAATACGAAATAGCATAGAAATATCTGTAACATTGCATCAATGTTTGTAATCTACAATTTCTACAATAAAAAATTTCGAAAATGAAACAACATAATAAATAATGAACACATCGTTTGTTTAACGTATAATATTTATAACGCAGCTATTATTGCTATCGAAACATTTTGCTAAATCATTATAAAAACAATGGATAAATTATACAATGTGACACGTGTTTTCTGCAACAGTAACAAATTTTTGCCAAATACACACCGTATATTTTTCTATTGTAATATTCATTAAGTTGACGTATCTAATCATACGAAAAATTTCCGATATGCGGCAATACTTAAATGACAAAATGATCAACTAACCTCAAAAATTTTGTTCTCATTCCCCCGTCATGACCAGTCATGTTTCGGCGCCATGTTAATACTTCAAACTATTCGCGCATGTTGGAAAGTTCACAAAATTTGTATGAAATTTTTCTTGTCGTTAAACTTCTCTGAAATAAAACTTCCACTAACTAAGCTTACTAGGGTGAACAAAAACGCCCCACTTGAACAACGTGTACTGTTTGCACTGTATTGAGGTATCGAAACAAAGTACAATATTTATAAAAACAGATGAGAATTCTTCACCGGCTTACTACGGGATGATTCGCGATACGACAGCGCCAATGTCGTCAGCTGCCTGTAAAGTGGCGGTTTTTTTACTGGTATTTGAACTTGCGGCTAACCGCTATATCCTCTATGAGATAATTGAAAATAGTTTATACAAATACTAGATATATGCGGGTAATTGAAAATTACGAGTTGAAAACTTTTTTAAAATCTGGGTCAATTCGAATCGAATATTTCATTCGAGTTTAGCTTTGTATGAGAATATTGAAAGTTTGTAAATATAAATACAATGAAGTCGTGTTACAGTATGTCCTTGAATGGGACTGTAGGAGCAGAAGAAATTGTGGAATGAATCATATAAGCAGAACTTCCATGTAGCGCTTGAATGTTAAAGCTCTGGTGTCAACATTATAACTCGCGAATTCTAAATTCGATTTTAAAATTTATATTTTACGCAAGATGTATGCTTATTATTCAAAATTCCGGAATTGCAGTAGTTCTGTGTACACAGCTTATTGCATAATTTCATATTAGCGAAAATAAAAAAAAATAATGTTATTTCTTACAATATATTGCGTAATATTTTTCTTACTTTTGCATTTACATAACCGATTACATTATATAATACGAAAATGCTTTTGAATTGCAATATTTAAATAAAATTAAAAAAAATATATCGTAAATCGAACTGTATATCGCAGTCGAACTCGATTTCGAAGCTGGATTCAAATTATCACTCGAATTTATTTATGTATATATGAATGTTAAGATTTACAATTGGAATTCTACGATTGAAGGTAAAACTTTATGTTATTTCTATTGCAATTTATGTATGAGTTGTGGAGTATAAAAATGGTTATTAAAAAATTAATATTCCTTATAAATGTCAGTATCTATCAATCACGTTTTATTGAAATTTATATTTTACAGTATATTAAAATTTAAGTTATTATTATTTTTCAATAGCTTTCATATATTTGTTACAACTTTATAATCTTGTTATCAATAGCTATGTAACATTACATTATTTGTTATACATATAAATTACTAAGTTTTATTGTATGATAAATGTATAGCATGTACAGAAGTTTATATTTTCCATATTTGCAAGGTAAGAAAATTTGTAAAACAAAAGTATTGAATTTTTGCAACGTTTATCTTTATTTTTTAATTCTTGAATAATGGTAAACAAACATTTATTATTATTATTACAGGTAGTTTCAAGCTTCCGTTATAAAAATATTGTATTATGATTAACATATAATATGTAATCACACATAGTATGTAAAAGATTTCGTACAAAATGTGCAAGTGTTATATACACTGTTAAGCTTTCCATATAATTACAAACAAAACAATTTATAGACTCACAATACACAATTATTACATTGTTTACTTTAAATAAGAATATAAAAATTGTTTAAAAATTGAAAAATTTAATGAAATTATAAAAATTATTTGCAATAATATATTTACTCACGTAACACAGTTATTAAATTTTCTTCAAAATTTAAATCTGCTCTTGATGGATATATCAATTTCATGTTACCTTCCATATCCACTACTTTTACTTGTTCTACAACTAAATTGTGATAGGTGGATGTAGTTTCTTGATCTGAGGGGCATCCAAAACCCTGGATGACTAATTCCTTTAAAAACTGGTCCAATATGTTTCTATTAAAGTACAAAATAGCATTATAATATCACTAAAGTATTTTGCAATTACCTTTATAACAGTATGATTAATTTATATTATTATACATTTTTTAAACGAATCAGTTTTGATTATTAATAAATTATAATTTTACCTGCAAACGTGATAAGATGTGGCACTGGTTACCTCTATTAGCATCGTATCAGTATTAACTGACATTTTTGTAACATCACTATTTGTTATTGGTGGGAATGAAATAACTTGTTCTGAAGAATCCAATAAACATGGGAACATAGGTTTTCCTTCTAACAGGTAAAGGTACTTGTGAATTCCAGAATATACATTACGCTTTTTTTCTTTTCTTAAATTATCAGCTTCTGTTTGTAATTGTTGAAATAATGAAGCACCAGTGTAAATTTGATTACGCATTAGTGGTTTAATTTCTAGTTCATTTGGTAGTTTTGCAGTATATGTCAGGTCACCTAAACATGAAAGATAATATTAATAAAAAATATCTTAAACATATACTTTCAATTCTTATTATATTTACCAGGAGTAATTAATTTTACATCATGTGTAGCAATAGTAGCTGCATTTCTTTTTTCACATATTCCATCATGTAATTTAGTTTGAAGTTGAATGAATTTTTTAAAACTGTCTTCTGTAAATTTCAAATTTTTAACAATGCAAGCTGCAATAAATGGTCTAACATTTTTCACGTGTTTTGTAATTTTAATCTCTGGAGTGTCATTTGTTACTTTTAATACTTTTAATTTATGTGTTAAATTCTCTATCGTGTTAGCACTGTTTTCAGATTCTGATAATTTCTGAGCTTTTTTTCCTTTCTTCGATTTAGTATTTGCATTAGTAGAACCACTACTTCGAGGGCAATGTAATTTAATATATTCTATTATTTGTTTATTATGGCACTGATCTACCAATTTTAACAATCTTTTATCTGTTAACTTATTTCCTTTCAACTGCAGTTCTTTTAACTTATTACAATCAGCTATTTCACCTGGAACAACTACATAAAAGAAAATTTATGATTACATAAGTTCTTTATAAAATAATTTTGTATTTTGAAGAAAACTCACCTGAAATTAAATTATCTGCCACGTTTAATATTTTTAAACATGAAAGTTGGTTTATAGCCGCAGGAATCTCTTTAATTTGATTACCATTGACATAAATTTCAGAAAGATGAGTTAATTCTGGGTAACAAACATCAGGGAACGTTTCAAATTGATTGTTCGAAATGTTCAAGACACTCAGTTTGGTATTACCAATTTGTGTAGGTAAAGATTTCAAAAGGTTTGCACTCAAATTCATTGTGGTCAATTGTGGAAGTTTTCCAATTTCATCCGGTAAAGAAACTAATTTATTGCTGGAGCAATCAAGAAACTTTAACTTGTCCAATTTTCCAATTGTATCAGGTATCTTTGAAATTTCGTTCGAATATAATACTAAGTTTGTTAAGTTCAGTAATTTTCCGATTTCTTCCGGTATTTCCTGCAAGCATGTCTGCGTGATCTTTAGATAATTCAAATGTTGTAGGTTAAATAAGGACTTGTCGAAGCCCCGTTTTTGAATTAATTCAGAAATCGCAGGGCCTGACAACACCAACTCGTGTTTATTTTCTGCAGCAGCAGTTTTGATCACATTCCACGAATTATCCATTGTCATTATTGTGGATACTGGTTAGAAATATAGCTAAATTTCTGCCAACAGTATATAGAGCAACGTCATTTGCGACGTTTTGAGGTTATTTGCCGGGCTATGTAATTTGAAACATGCGTTATTAGTTCATGACGACATCTATGCGCGTAAATTCATCTGTAATATAAAATTGCGCAGCGCGTGATTTATTATTGCAGTTTTAAATTGCTGCTGAATAATATTTATAATATCAGAATTTTTTTTTAATTTAAAATCAAATTCTTGAAAGAACAATGTAATCTTTGTAATTCTTTCATTGTTATTACGCATGTTTAACGGTTTGTAATAAATCTGCACCCCACCAAGTCACCCCAATAGACTTTTTTACTACCCTTGTCCTAGACAGCTGTCTATTTTTCTGCAGATGTTAGGGATGGTGGAGATATAACTACATAAGTAAATAGAAGAATAAAAACTGGACAATAGAAAGCATGTTTATTCCCTCAATATTTTAAAACATTTAATAAATTTTATTATTCCTTTGAAACTGTTTTCGAATTTCTCGAATAAAGAGGGTGAGTTTAAGAAAATAATGTTGATAATTAAAAATAATCATATAAATAAACAGAGTAAACTTAGATAATTAATTCACACATTTTATATGTTTAAAAAGTTATTAAATACAAATTTTTATATACATATTCTGTCAAATATACTATGATTAATAATTAATATTTGTTACTAAAAAGAGAACTTGTTTTTTTATAACAAGCCTGTGTCTTCAGCAATGTTCTATTAATTCGAGGGTTATTTTTAAATTTCGAGCGTTGACCCGTATGCAAATTAGGGTTTTCAACGAGTTCTAATAAATGCAAATTATAGCATGGGAATTTGGGGCGGCAACTATCTCGCTTGCGTTAGAGGAAAGAGGGTGTCATGTAAAATTTATCTTTAGGCAATTTAACTATTACATTCTATTATCTATTTTCTTATATACGTGTTGAACCGGTTTCGAACAGTTCTCACCTTGATACAGTTCCCTTTATCTTGACCTGTTAACTGGGCATGACGACTTAACTCGTCATTCGAGCGATAAATTTTTAGTAGATAATATACTCATTAAAAGATCTTCATCATCAAGTATATTCGTATACTTTTACTAAGAAGCAATATTTACTCCATTTCTTTTTTGAACAAAACAGAAATAATGTATCTTCTGATAAAAATAGTCACTGGATTAATAGGTGGAGTAAATAAAGAGAAAATGACATCCTCGAAATTTTAAATATTTATTCTCAAATGAGACAATTAAAGAGAAACAAATAAATATAATTCTAGATAATTTAAAATTAATTATACTTACTTGAATATTAAACATAGAATGTTTACAGTAAACGCGAAACTTTTCCTAAAAATTTTAGTCAAACGAATTAAAACATCGTTTTTACGAAATATTAATTATGAATTATGCACGACACGATAGTATTTATAATTTATTAGTGGCGATTAAAAATTCGACTGAAAGATGGAAACATGACAGATATTATAAATGGTAATCGGCACGTAAAAACAAACGACGGTGTAGATTTCCCAACAAGTGAAAAAAAAGAGGTATCATAATTTTAAAATATGAAGGAAGACTTTATTACTGACCTTCGAGGTTCATCGTCATCGCAGTGAAGGAACTGGCAAGGTCCTCAGGAAATATCGAGTATCACCGATACAGGTTTGCCCACTGGGATTTGCATCTGAATAAAGTGCGAAGGAGGATGTTAATTTTAAACGGTGTGAAAGACCGTTTAGAGCGCCGTACAAATAATACTTTGATTTTTCAACAGGCAATGTCAACTACCGACATTTTTAATTTAGTTGAACTTCCGTGTCTCCAAACAATTCGATCTTTTATATTGTTTATGAATTGGTTATATTACAGTTTCTCTTCCTGCACGATAAATGAAAAAAATATAACCTTGTACACATGACTTTTTGCGAGATTTAGTGGTCTAGAATTTTTTAAAATAAATAAAACTCCTAAGTTTCCAAATCTCTGCATTTGCAAAGTTTTACATTTTTCAATATTTCACTTTTGTAATCGTAAATTTTCCAAATCGTTGAATTTTCAAATACATAAATTTCCAAGTTTTCAAATATGTAAATTTCCAAATTTTTAAATATGTAAATTTCCAAAATTTTGAATTTTTAAATTTTTAAATTCTCAACTTCTCAAATGTCCAAATTCCTAAATTTCTAAATTTCCTAAACTTCAAATTTCTAAATTTCCAAATTTTCAAATTTCTGAATTTCAGTCACAGTTCTGAATCACAGTCGCCATCTTTTTAAATTCCCTAATATTCAAATTATTACAGTTACAAATTTTTAAATTTCTAAACTTGGAAAGTTGAAAATTAAAAAATTCCTAAATCTCTAAATTTGCAAATTTGCATTCCTAAATCTCTAAATTTGCAAATTCTCCCTAATTTCCACATCCACTAATTCAACAACTTCTAATTCTTCAAATCCCCAAATTTGAAAGTCCTCAAATATTCAACCTCCCAGATTCCCAAGCACCTATACATTCAACTTCCCAAATTTCCCCAATGTCCACAATAAAAGTCCCATACCAAATGTCAATCGCCGATTCCCGTTTAATCATCGAACCCAGCAATTATTATTTCCCGTCTCCATAATCTCACCAGCAAATTACCTTCATTAGCGATCGAATCACGTCATTCCTCCGAGCCTCTCGCCATAAAGATGCAAAAGGACATTGTGTCTCGATAAATATTATTTATAGCCATCGGTCGAACGTTCCCTATAGTATTGCCTCTCGACTATCCCGTACGTGACAACTGTAGACATTGTCCAGTTAGTTTCGTGGGAGCCTTCGAGGAATCGAATTGGCAAATCTCAACTTCCTGTTACCCAAAGTCCACGGTTATCAGCCACAGTCCCCGATCGCTTCCGCATCGAGCGGAAACATGGAGCGGATCTGCGGGTGGGGTTCTTCGGCCGCGTATAAAGCTAAGAAGAACCGGTCGATTTTCGTCAGTGGAATCGTTTCGAACCGTGTATCCCCTTTTTCCCTTGAAAGTACACCATGAATTCGTCGATCGTTTGCTCGTTCGTTATTCTCCTGTTAGCCTCCGCTTTTGCGTGGCCATTTCGGCGACGGGACGTGTTGGACAATTCGGTGGACAGCCCTGATGGCGTGATCGCTCATCTTCAACATTTCGGACCGATGCTCTACGGATTCCCGGATAACGAAACCGGGGCAATTGTGGCAACCTGGCATGAGGGTTGGGATAGAAATCCGGAGGAGTTGGGCAACTATGCGGAGGGTGACATTCTGTTTCCACTGCAGCTCGGGAAAAATGGCATCAGAGCGGAATCCGCTCGATGGCCTGGTGGTGTTGTGCCCTATATGATTAGTCCTTATTTCAGTAAGTGATTGTTCATTCTTTTATTTAACACAAAATACCCTTTGATAAAAGTTAGACTTAACGTTCAAGCTATACTTCAAGCTAACGTTTTAACTACTAAACGTTCAAATTTATATCTTGAAACAATTTTACGTAATAAAATAACCATTCATTTTTTAAACACCTTCATACGTTTTTTTTCTGACTTATATTTACTGTTAGTATAATACAATATAACGTATGCAGTACATTTTATTAGTTTCATAGAATATGTGTAATATCGTATTATACTCGTGATGCATACAGTTTGAATGCAAACGAACGTAAACCCGGCTCGTATTTTCCTTGCAGTGTAATTCTGGCTTCAATTTTAATTATAATCAGCACAATCAAGAATTGTTAGACTCAAACGTAATATTTTAACCTTCTTTTGTTGTAATAATGTAGTAATAATTAGATTTTAATAAATTGCTTTAAAAATGATAGGTTAAGGGGTTGAAATACTTGAGTTCTCTTTACAAAAAATGAATTCATTCTTTCGATCTTATTATAGTTTTTGACACATTATTTATTCGTAAGAGATATTTGACATAAATAAAAATTAGGGATAGTTACAGTAACACGAGTTTGAACTACAAAAAGAAATATGAAGGAATTCGAGATCTTTTATTTATAGATTTTAACTGTTAATTTATGAAGTCATAAATATCCCTTTAAATCATTATTACAATTTTCGTATCATTTACAATTTTTGATATATGAATTCTAAGATTCATTAGTGATAAAATGTTAATGCATCACTCCTTGAAATTTGATGACGGTGAACTGTTAACTGCATTCTCGAGATTTCGAGATCGTGACTGAAATTTCTCTTATGATTGGAAGCACTTTACCTACTCGACGTTTGATTGAAGATGAACAGACGATGTATGCTCTGATGCAATGTAGGTTTCATTTGGATATGAATTAATGTAGGAGTTGTCCCTCATCGTTTGTCTTTGATTTTGAGATATCAACTTGAACATATTCGAGTTTCTGAACTTCTGAATTTTCAAACTTTAAAATTCTAAAATTTCTGCATCTTGTAATTTTCAAACTTTCAAATTCCAGAATTGCTGTATCTTGAAATTTTCAACATTTAAAAATTCAGAAAGTTTTCAAATCTTAAATTTTCATATTTATAATCCACTGTCTAAATTCTCAAATCTATTTCTAATTTCTGAAATTCTTAAATTGGCAAAATTGTAAGCTTGAATCTTCATGAATTTAAAAATTGACTAACTAAAAATGAACGCGTTGCAGAACCTCCTTCTTCTGCATCGCCATTTTCTATGGTAAACTTAGACTTTCGCGCGTAACTTAGATTTTTCTTGTTAATAATTAAGAATAATTACAATGGAAAAAATATTTAATCACTAAAGTTATTTATCTATTTCACATACATCCTTTATTTGCAATATTTGTGCTTTGTTTCTTATAGTCTCTTCCAAAAATCTTCTTCAGCCAATTTTAAACTAGAACTGAATACGTTCGAATTTACCGAAATATTCGAATATTTGAATTATTCTAAATATTGAAAATATTCGAATTTCATAATCGAATTCCATCGACACTTTAAATATTCGAACGTCAAAATCGAATGTCATTGACATTCAAATATTCAAATAACAAAATGAAATTTCACTGGTATTTAAATACTCGAACGTCAAAATCGAATTTCACTGATATTAGAATATTCGAGTATTCAAATTTCAAAATCAAATACCACTAACTTCCAAATATTAAAATTTAATTCACAGTCCTATTTTAGACAAACTATATTCTACATTCTCCAAATTTATTTAATATTGAAGTTTATTTTCTATATAAGCATTTGCTTTCAGTGAAAAAGGTCCACATATCACCCTAAATCTAAGTAAGTGAAAAATAAATTGAATTTCAGACACACAACAGCGAAATTTAATTTTCGATGCCATGGAGGATTATCACAAGTATACGTGCATCAAGTTCAAGCCTTACACAGGAGAAGAAAGCGATTATATCAGGATCACTGCTGGGAACAGCGGTTGCTGGAGCAGCGTGGGAAGAATCGGTGGACAACAAGACGTAAATCTTCAGGTTCCAGGTTGTTTAGTGAAAAAAGGCACTGTGATCCATGAACTGATGCACGCTGTAGGGTTCTTGCACGAACAGAGCAGGTTCGAACGAGACGAATACGTGACGATACAGTGGCAAAATATTTTGAATGGTGAGTAATCAAACAATATTAATTGACAATTTTAAGATTAAGGAAATTTGGATATTTGATCTTGTAATTTAGAAAATTTAGAAAGGGGATTTGCAAGATTAGAAAATTTAGGAAACAGAAAATGAGATATATCTGGGTAATTAAATATTTAGGAGTTTATAAATTTAGGAATTTAGAAATTTTGGGATTTGCAAGATTAGAAATTTGGAAATTAGAAAATGTGACAATTTATAAATATTGGAATTTGAAAATTTGGTGAAAAATGTAGAAATTTAGAGATTTGCAGAATTAAAAATTTGGAAACTAGCAAATGTGAAAGTTTGTAAATATTGGAATTTGAAAATGTGGAAATCTATAAATTGAAAAAACTTAGAAATATAGAAGTTTGGAGATTTGAAAAATTAGAAATGTAGGAATTAGAAAATGTGAAAATTTAGAAATTTGAAAAATTGAAAATATGGGAATCTATAAATGTGAAAAACTTAGAAATTAAAAATTTAGGAATTTGGAAATTTAGAAATATTGAAATTTGAAAACAAACTTGAAATATTTATTTCTGTTTTATTTAACACTATTAAAAATAATATTTTCGCAGCGTTATTCTTAAATAAATTTATAAGGGTACATGTATAATAATTTATGATATCAGTCTTCTCTTCACGAATTCATTACACAAATATTAATTAAGAGTACAAATAACATTATTAATACTAAAGTTATTAATATCAACACAGTAAATTAATTAACACAAACGTACGAAACGTGTTAAATTATATCTCCACCAAATTTAATTAACTCTCTCCTTTAATATTTGCCATGTCTGAAATACTTCATTTCGTTACTATAACATTTTTAATTACGTTAAAAGTTAACAAGATAAACATGTTTCATTGGTAACCTACATAACAGAACGCAAGAGATATCAAAATAAATCAAACGTTTAAAGTCGAAAAATAATTAAAAGCAAGTAAATAAATGTTTAAATTACCTTCAGTGGACTGAGATCACTATCGTAACTCCTACTGTAAAAATATGGCGGAGTGGTAAATCTCTTTTACTTCTATTTTTAGTGTTGGCACTCTAGTAATTTGCTCAGCCAACGATATCTGATTTTTTTTGCAGAGGCAATCTTTTTAGCTCCCATTTATTCTCGAAATTGGAGCAACGTTTGATATCATGTTCCGATTTTTTGTTCTATTTTGGCAGATAATTTACGTTAAACCGCTCTATTAAAAGGATAACATTTAGAACAGAATTATTTTTATATTATGGCTGTTTTCTGGTGTTTATTTTTATAATAGACACGTTAGAAGAAAGTTTCTTTGCAAATTAAATTATTCACTGAGAATTGGGGTTATTTTTTCAAATTTTTTAATGGAAAATAACATATTAAAAAATCAGAAATCTACATTAGGAAGAATATTTGTGATTCAGTAACAAAATTTATGTGCATTTTGCATTTTTCACAAAATCATTCAAATACATAATGCATTTCACCCCAACTCAAGTTTTAAAATTCAGTATTTTAGTATAATAGCAAGTCTTAATGTCATTTAATAATGTTGGAAGTAACGGACAAAACAAATGAACTGCGCTATGCGCGTCCGAACACGCATCACGATGCTTTGTCCTACAGTTACAGTTTTACCTTCGTCAACGAAGCACCGCGCATTTTGTAAAGACATTTTTATATTATTAAAGTATTTTCCGTTCACCTCAGCACTGCAGTTTATTTTCCTGGAGCTAATCCTAACA